GAGAAAAGACTTGTGAAGTTGGACACACACACACACACACACACACACACACACACACACACACACACACACACACACAGGCAGACAGAAAGCACACAGAGCATCCATGTACACACCTTAAGGTTCAGACAAGGAATATATACAGTATATATACAGGCACACACAGTCTCTTAAAGGTACACACAAACCACACAGATACAAAGCCAATATCAATGTTTATCATTTATCTCTCTATCCCTCTCTTTCCCCCTTTTTTCGCTCCTTTTGAGAACTGAGTTTGTAATGAGTTTGAAAATTGGCCCATTTCATTTGCTCTCACTGAAATGTCATTATCTGGGGGAAGAAGGAGGGGGTCGCAGAGGCACTGTAATATATTTTTTCCACTCAAACAGGGTTATTAATATATTTTTCCCAGATAACTTGTAACAAGGTTGTTTGGTGTCCACAGCAGGTCCCTTGCATCTCCATGAGCTGCATTTACACTGATTCAGAAAATATGATTCATCCACCTTCATGCATTTATTCTACATCTGTATTGAATTTTACTGACAGCCACAGTAAGGCCCCTTTTATTCTTCCTCATGCAATAGTCCTGCAGTGCTACAGTCCCATTAATTTAAACATAACTTCAGCAAATGCCAAACAAAAGTTTTCCTTCATGGATGGCTTCAGGGTTGTTTGGTCAATGGGTAGCACTTTTGATGTCCTTCCTGAATATATCTACTGTGTTTTTACAGTGAGATGAAGCGCTTTCGGATCTCTGAGTGGAGTTTTTCTTAATATAACCCTTAATGGTGTATTATATTATTTCAAAGAATGATAACAGACCTTGTGTGCCACTCAAGGCAAAATACATATTTTATAATAGTGGATATCAATTCATTTTTGTTGCTGTAACATGGTTGGTCACTAGAAGATGGCTAGCTCTCCAAATAAAAATCATAATTTTCAGTATGCTGTCTCTAATTTAAATCCACTTTGAGGGCACCGTTTACCAAAAATGACTTGAAACTCAACCAGCAGTGACAAACTGATCTACATTTCTTGACGGAAGCTGATGCTGGGTGTCTCAAACCACAGGAAAGTGTCACCTTGTCAGTTTTACAACACTCCATCACACATAGGAGTGGTAGCCATATATAATTAAAAAGCAGTACAGACACCAGCTTTAATAAACTAATAAGGGAATGTGCTTTATTTAGGACAGGCCCTTCTCCCAGTTTATTATTTATAAATTAAGAAATGTATACAATTATTTGTGAAGTATTTATAGAATGTGTCAGAGCAGGCATACAGAGAGTTTTATAGAGCCAGCAGCGGGTGTTTGGATGGAGTTGAAATATAAAGTGAGTGACGTAATTAAACTTTTTTTGATCTGTAAAATACCCCCCCAAAAATGTTTAAACATCAACGTCATTATTTTAATGTGCTAACTTGTTTGCATTTTTCATTGACTTGTGATGAGTGGAACAGGCAGATGTTCTACAGCCTGTGTGGGAGTGGAAATCAGTATATATGAAAACAGAACTATGTGTACGCGCGGCTTCATAAACTTGATGAAACAAAAGCATATGCATATTTCTGTGTTTGTGCGCACAACCAGTTTAGTCAAATTTACACCTAAATGTATGCATTTGTTTTGACCAGTGCAATATTAGGTCTGTTGGTACATTTATTCTGAATTTATTTATACTCATATTTATTTATACACTTGACTTAAGATATAAAATCCACAATAATAGTTAGTTTTCACTAATGAGAAATTTCATTGTCATGTCTATACTTTTTAAAATGCCAAAGAATTTTAAGTTTAGTGTAACTAAAGAGCATTTCACCCTTTCTGGTACAAAACAGCTGCCACAAAAGTGAAGCAGATCATGTGTTACTACTGAAGATAGAAAAAAAACTGTCACCTCCAAAACAGCTGTGACCTCAACAGAAACAGTCAGCTCATTTACCTTTTTGTGTCTGTGTAAATCCTGCTGGTGTTCCACCGTCTCTGCGAGTGGAGGAAGCAAACGAGATGCTAAGTCATGCATGACCCAGGGTGCAATCCATCAGCTCCACTCTCATTCACTTCTGCTCGGATTCCGTGGAGTTGGACACAAAATGAAGACATATGGGAAATCTCACCTATACTGCGGAACAGAATGGACGAGTTCTGAGATTGCCGCAGTGGCCCCGTAGTGGCACAAGCCAAAAAAGCTTTTCTTGTATTCGCCACAGTCTTCAGATTGGGTTACCTTTCCTTTCTACTTTAAAAGAAGCAGGGAGGCCTAGTGCAACGATCTGCCTGAAAAAGGCACAGTGTCTAGTTTCAGTGTCAGGAAATCTAGTGTAATACAGATAGACTTAAGTGAAGAAGTTTGAAATACTATTTCATTTATTTGTTGGTGTTGATGGTGTTTATTAAAATGGTGTCTAATTGTTCTTTTGTACCAACCGGCTCAATTAAATGGTTTAAACATGTTCATGCTAATCCCAGTCTTGCCTTTGGCTACAGCCCAGGGGTTTATACATAGACAGGATGGAAGTTGAAGGCACTGGTCCCATGGGCACAAATTATGGTAAATTAGGGCAGGTAAGTTATTATTTAAGCGAAATACAATTTCACCTCCTGACCTGCTGGTTACATTTTAAGAATTCAAAGACACCAGTCACAGCATTTCCCCCAGCAGGAGCCTGTACTGTGCCATGTTTTAAGCATCTCTGGATGGAATTCTACAGTGTAGAGCACAAACGTGCTTCTTAAATTGACTTTAAATTAGCTTATTCAAATAAACTGAACAGGTAAATGAATTTAGGGAATAAAAATGTTATATTAAATTGGAGGATGAATTTTAACATACTCATTACCAAGATCTGGGTTGGAAGGCTAGAGACTGAAGAATGGATGAGCCTCCCAAAAAACATTTTTTTCAATTCAGTTGTATATTTATTAACGCTGGAGGTTCTGCATAAGTGATCCCAGCTGCAGGTTTAAAGTAGCTGCCTGACACTGGGAAGTTTAAGATACATTTAGTGCATGCCTGGAAAGCACAGG